TGTCGTGTTATTCGTGTTCCTCATGCTTTCAGGGTCAGGGCTCTCCCCCTAAAAACTTAAACTCCACCCTGCACCTCACCTCGGTGCGCAGTATCCGCGGGACCCCGCTCCTAGCTCGCTCAATGACTGGATGAAGCACTCCAAATGCGCACTATGGAGCGTTATAGAAGAGAGGAGGACTGGGGAGATGGAGGAGAGCTAGCACGAGATGAGACGACGGAGGAGCAGTGAGGAAAGAGAGGGGTAGAGCCGCCGTCGGTGCCGCCGGCCTCTGCCACGGGGCTTGCCGAGTATAGGTCAGCAGCCGTGCTCCCAGCGAGAATGGAGAGGAGAGGAGGGGGACGTGAAGGAGAAGGGAGGGGGAGTGAAGGATGAGACGAGAGAGAGCGATAAGAGAGATGAGAGAGAGAAGGACAGGGGACATGGAAGGTAAGGGGAGAGGAAGGGGAGATGAGAGAGAGAGAGGAGAGAGCAGGAGAGATAGCGTTAAGAGAAGAGTGGATGGGCATGAAGGCAATGCGAGCATGAGAGAGATATAAGAGTAAGGGAGAAGAGGGAAAGAGACAAGACGAATAGACATTAGTAGCACATGCATTATAGAGAAATCGCCCACCGGATATGGGTTGCCGAGAGAGAAGAGAAGTAGAAGAAACGGGTGCGAATGGCCGAGGGAGTCAAGAGAGCGAAGGTAGGGGTAGTAGGAAGAGCCGGCCAGACACATCGTCATATAGCGGTCCCTGACCCTGCACTTCCAGTCCGTGAGTGCCACTTCACGATCTGTTTGGGCAGGTTATATAGCAACGCGTGGTCGCTGTTCGAATGTGAATGCCTAGCGCCAGGCTGTAGTATCGCTGCGTTAGTTACTGCCCCTGGCAGGTGCGTTATTGAGAAAGCAAGCCTACATTACCAACTCCGAATATACTGACCCGCACTCCGCGACACCATTCGCACCCCCCACCCGCCATCCCTCTCCGATTCACCATTTAAGTAATATTTTTTATGTAGGAATCTATTTTTATACTACTATTATTATTATTATTATATAGACAAATATATATTAATATTATGGTGTTATTCGTGGTTATGCCTTTTATACATGCTGTAATACTTTGTACGACGCGATCGTTTCTTCAAATTGCCACGCGATATGGTTCTGCCATATCGCGTTGAGGCTGGGCGGAGATTTTCGGCTTTAGGAGGAGAAATGCGGCCACCTCGGGGAGAAGTGTACGTGTGTTTGAAGCTATATATATATATATATATATATATATATATAATATCAAAGAGCGTATTAAGTATGCTTAATACTTAATACGCTCTTGATAATTATAACAAAACAAAGTTTTTATTCACTTTTGATATATTGTTGTGAAATCATCATAAGCTGCTGTAAAAATGAAGTCATTGTGAGATGCTGTGGTAATGAAGTCATTATGGGAGGATGCGATGTTGGGTAGAACGAGAGTCATATGATAGGACAGAGAATGCGCGACTGTGCAGAGAGAGAGGAACGCACGAGAAGTCATTATGCAGATGCTGTGCGGTAATGAGAAGTCATTATGAGATGCTTGTGGTAATGAAGTCGTATATGAGATCGCCTGTGAGGTAATGACGTCATGTAGAGATAGCTGGGATGGCAATGGAAAGTGCATAATATTAGATGACGTGAGAGATGGGACGACAATGTGAGAAGTGCATTGTGAGATTGCTGTGGTAATAAAGTCATTTATGAGCATGCTGTGTGATCGAAAGTCATTATTGAGGATGCGAGATGTGGGTAATGAAGTCATTATGAGATGCTGTGGTAATGAGTCATTATGAGATGCTGTGGTAAATGAAGTCATTATGAGATGCTGTGGTAATGAATAAAGTCAATTGTTGAGGATTGCTGTAAGGTAATGCAAGTCATATTGAGAGATTATGAATATGTAAATGAAACCGTCAATGGTTACGCGTGTGAATAAGCCAAGCCAGCGATACGTCATAATATATATAGCTTCTTTTTTTTAATAAGCTACTGTGGTAAAAATATTTGATTATCAATAATAGGTTTTTAATTAATTGATTTGATCAACACTAAACATTTTGTGTCTATTTGTATATACCATTGTATATCTTAAGTATACATCTTGCACGTTACATAAACTCTGTGCGAGCAGTGTGTGAGGGTGACTGAGAGCTCTGCTTGGCCCTCGCTACTCAGAACAAACGCAACGCAAACGCGGCAAAAAATCAACCAGTGAAAACAAAACCAGTAGCCTCGACATCTGACGTAAGCTGACATTTTCATTGGTTGATTTTTTGGGTGCCGTTGAATTGTTTTCGGTTTCGAAAGAGAAAACAAAGGCATTTTTGGAGTGCCGACACGGGCGATGACGATCGCCGCAGCAGCTCACTGTTTTTTTTGGGGCATGAATTGCGAGGCGACGATTTTTCATTTTTTCGTAGTTTCTAGCGATTGTCACTTTGCTTTCTTTCGGCAGCCGGGGTATGTGGGTGAGAGTTGAGGTAGTGAGGGAATTCGTGAGTTGGCGATAGGGTCGGAGGGCAGAAGGAAGGGCAAACGCTGGTTGGGCGGCAGGGCAGGCAAGCGACGCAGGCGAGAGAGAGACGAACGCCGGAGGAGAGAGGAGAGCGAGCAGAGAGAGAGATGGAGAGGAGAGAGGAGAGATGGAGAGAGAGAGGGATGGCGACAGAGAGAGGAAGAGGGAGAAGCGAGGTGAGCAGAGAAGAGAAGAGGATGAGATGGAGAGAGAGATGAGGAGAGGGCGAGAGGAGAGAGATGGGACAGGACAGAGGAGAGAGAGAAGAGAGACGAGCAGAGAGACGGAGAGAGACGAAGAGAAGACGGATGAGAGAGAGAGAGAGAGATGAGAGGGAGACGGAGAGAGGCCGAGAGTGACGAAGACAGTGAGAGAGAGAGAGAGCTTCCTGAGAGAGATGCAGAGATGAGAGAGGAGAGAGAGAGAGAGAGAAAGAGAGGCAGATGAGAGGAGAGAGGAGAGAAAGAGACCTCTCTCTCTCTTCTCTCTCTCTCTCTCTCCTCTCTCTCTATCTAACTCTCTCTCTCTTTCTCTACTCGACCTGCAGGGAGTCACCTTGAGGACGGACCCTGACGGAAACATCTACTGCAGACGCCTAACAGACGCTGACGTCATCGTAAAACGTCATTCGCCCGCCGACGGATTCTACGCGGAAGAAGAAAGCAGTGACGCGGTCGCCTTTGATGAAGAGGTCAAGGTTGGTAAACCAATCGATTATCGATTGATACTAAAATCAATTTAAATATAGAACATTCGGTGTCGTAGTCGGTGCGTAGGGCGTATCGATGTGCCAAATCAAGAATAACTGTAATTATATAGTTGAGCGTTGCGCCGACAGATGGCGCGTCTCTCGCTTTGTCGTGGCTAATGACCCGTGTCGCGAATAAAGGAATTACTAATTAAATACTTAATTAATTCATTATTTAATTTAAATTAATGCCATATCTATAAACATTCGCCGTATAACATCCGCCATATAACATCCGCCACATCTGATTATCTGCTATTTTGGCATCTCACACTCGCAGATATTCTGCCACGCAAACTCCATCTTGCATCTATCTGATTATCTGCAATTTCGCTATCTCACGCGCAGATATACAGCCATGAAAAACTTCATGTTGTATCTATCTGATTATCTGCAATTTTGCTATCTCATGCGCAGATATTCAGCCATGAAAAACTTCATGTTGTATCTATCTGATTATCTGCAATTTTGCTATCTCATGCGCAGATATTCTGCCACGCAAACATCATCTTGCATCTATCTGATTATCTGCTATTTCCGTATCTCACACGCTCAGATATTCAGCCACGCAAACTCCATGTTGCATCTATCTGATCATCTATTATTTCGTTATCTCACACACGCAGATATTGAGCCACGCAAACTTCATCTTGCATCTATCAGATTATCTGCGATTTTGCTATCTCACACGCGCAGATATTCAGCCACGAAAAACTCCATGGTGTATCTATCTGATTATGTACCTGTAATTTCGCTATCTCACACGCGCAGATATTCCGCCACGCAAACTCCATGTTGTATCTACCTGATTATCTGCAATTTCGCTATCTCACTCGCGCAGATATTCAGCATGGCGAGCTACAAGCGGCTGGTGGCAGAAACGCTGACTGAGGCGACCTACCTCAGCCGCTGCAGATTCCTACAACTGCGCTGCTTCGTCGGCCTCGCTTTCGTCACGGAGAGCTCTGATTGGCTGACGACGCCATGTTGGATCTGTCTGATCAACATCGCCGCGCTCGACTACCTGCACAGCTGCATCCAGCAGCTGAGAGCTCGTCGCCATGGCAACGCCGACGCGAGGTAGTCTGGAGTAATGACGATTATGGCGACATCTGGCGGTGGGAAACGGAGTTAGTTTGAGGTTTGGTGTGAGGTGTAATCTTGACACTAGTTGTACCTAGCTTATTTAAAGCGCGTTAAGTATTTTTCTGGAATTCGCACCAGACCTGTGGTTTGTAGGTAAGGTTTGGTTTGTCCCGAGTATAGTTATAGATAAGGTAGAGTCCAGATGTTGTAGCATATTATAGTATGCAGCGAGGGTGAAATGAAATGACTTAATCTTCCGCTTGCTCCGTTGATACACGCGCGCGCGTGTTAGTGCTAAGTAAGGCTAGGTTTACACTACCGACTTTATGTTGGCGAATTGGCGAGTTGGCGAAAATAGAACATGTTCTAATCTCCCAACTAGTTGCTATCGATCGGTTGATCGCGCAACTTTCGCGTTTACACTGCCGATTGTCGGTTGTATAGTTGGGAAGTCGCCAACACAAAGTCGGTAGTGTAAACCTAGCTTAACGTTGTTTAGATCTGCCGCTGACTTCATTATTTCAGCGAGTGAGAGAGAACAGTAAAAGTCGCAAGAAGATGAACGTGCACTTATTTCACGGTCAATCCCCACAATGCGTAACCTGTGTCTAGCACAACAGATATTTAAATGGATTTGTGTTGCGAAAACGAATTCACTATTTGCATTATCGCTATGGAATCCGTGATGAACTCGTTATAAGAAGTGAACAACGATTATTCATGCTTGCGCAGACGCGTGCGTGACGTCACACTGACCGATCTGTGCGCTCAAGCGGAATAATTCCTTTCGCATTCAACAGGAGGATTAGACCCGTTATAATCACTTCCGTTCTTGTTATAGTATGCAGACGCGACATTCCACGAACGCAAGGAGTTATGATACTGGATAAATATATATAATGATATCTTTGTTACGTGGTCCTAGTGTAATTATGAGATAGACAGCGCGATAGTGTATCTAGGAGGCTTATATAAGACGCAATAAAAACGAAAAAAAAATGATTACCGAACAAAAAATGATGCCCGAGTCACGCGATGGGGCCACTGTTGCGTTGCGTTGCATGTACGGATTATTTCTATGGCTATACGTGCAGATATCCCATTTTACACATATTTTATATAGGTATCTATAGTATGTTTACACATTTATATATATATATATATATGTGTGTGTGTGTGTGTGTGTGTGTGCGTGCGTGTGTGCGTGCGTGCGCGCGTGTGTGCGCGTGTGTGTGGTTCTTTTGGCTATGTAATCTTTATCACAATTATCTCATCGAGTCGCTAGAGATATAAAACTCTATAGCTGCCTATAACCGTGACCAAGCAGACAATGAAATAACGCGAATGAATGAATAAGCAGACAATGACGCACAGACTCGGGTGACGTCACTGTTATGTAGGTACACGTGGCTATAAGGCCGATATCGGTACGAACTTTGAGAACTTTTAGAATCGTGTAGAGTTTGTATTTATTCGTTTTTACGCACTAATTATTTATTTATAGATTCGCAAGTACGATGTCGTTTGTTTTCTATATTAAAACCAGGGATTCGTGGTATCATTGTGATTGTTTCGCTTGATGCATTTTCGCTTATTTCGTGTTTTTGTTATCTATAATTATACACAACTATCTATAATTATAGACAATTGTCTATAATTATACATAACGCACTACTTTTATACATAATTATACTGGAACATAACCTGCCTGCCGCATGTTTTTTAATAAACGCGTGTAAGACATAATATGTTGTATTAGTATTCGGGGGTTGGCTCTTACAATTGTTTCTCCGCAAGGTCTCAAAATCAATCTATAGTACAGTAGCAGCCGGAGATCCGGCATGGAAACTATGATTGTTTTTATGATGTATTTGAACATACGCGCACAACGATTCTCACGGACTATCTTGGTAACACCTATCCTCTCTCTCTCTCTCTCTCTCTCTCTCTCTCTCTCTCTCTCTCTCTCTCTCTCTCTCTCTCT